TTCAAATCCGCGCTGCCCTCCTTTTGCGCTCTTCGAGAGTTCGAGTGGATAGGATACCCTGAGTTCCGCGCCGACATGGTCCAAGCTGTCCTGCAGGCGCATCCCCGCCTCCACACTCTTGGTCTCATAGGATGGCACTTTGACGCTGTCGGCGTGGTACGTGCTCCATCTGGTCCGTATCCTGCACTAGCTTACCCCCAACCTAGTCTGCATTCAGTGGTCTGCGCAAGTTCATCCTGCGCGCCGAAGACGACGACGGGTTCGCTGACATGGGTGAAGTCCGCACAGTCCTCGACCAGAATCAAGGAACGCTGCGGCACTTGACTCTCGGCGCATACCTGCAGCGCAACCACTCCTGGGATCACGCATTCCAGTCCGCCACCATCCGCAACCTCACCCACCTCGAGCTCGTCGACACGCGCATCTCGCACGTCGTGCTCGCGCGCATATCCCACGCACACCGACTCGAGAGTCTGACTCTGCACGGGACGTTCGAGGAGCCGTGCTCCGCGAGCGTCGTCTTCGGCAGCGACCACATCATCGACGGCGTGCACACGTTCCTTCCTCACCTGGAGGAGTTCCGTTTCGTCATGGTGGGACACGACGACGACCTTGGCCTGTTCCAGTCGGTGGCGCAATTCCTCCGTCAGCGTCCAAAATTGCGCAGGCTGGATTTGGGCAGCTGCTCGTGGGACCTCGTGCACAGCGTGCTGCCCGAATTAGAGGGCTTGCGGGTCCTCCGCGTGCGCATCTCGAACTTGAACGAGGGCAGTCTGCAAGGACTGCTCAAGTCTCTCCCGAGAGAGATGCAAGCGGTTCACCTGGAATGCGCTGTCTCTGACAAGCCCATCGTGCGTATGCTCTCACCTCATCGTGTAGCCGACCCTAACCTCCGCGATGTAGCACGAATACGCTCCCGCGTTCAAGATCTTCTCGTCCATGACGATGCTGCACCTCGACAGCAACAGGCGCAGACCACAGCCCAACCTCCTCTCCGACAAAGAATACCAAGTGCAGACGGACCAGTGGGCCTCCAACGCGCGCAGCATCGCCCGCGCGCTCCCCGCGCTCGACTTCGTCGGCTGGCACGGCGAGCACTACGTCGTCGTCCGGAGCAGCACCGGGGGCGAGAGCGGGCGCGAGAAGGTCGATTTGAAGGAGCTCCCCACTCGCCGGCGGCTGGACTGCGCGAAGGGCGTCGACTTTGGGACGGAGGACGCGGCGTGGATGGAGCGCAAGGACTTGCCGATGGACTATGAGACCCCGGGGCTGCAGCAGTCGTGAGGATTCGCGTTGCTCTCGTCCGTCCGTCCGTATCGTACTGTATCGTTCTATACCGTCTCTTAGTGTATCTCTAGATGCTGCGCTCGCAGCGCCCTTAGTCGTCCGCTGCACCTGACCCTCGAGGTCGACCAAAGCAAGATGTAGGTCTATCTGCCTCCCTCGTTATCTCGCCTGTATGACAGCTCACGCAAGAGTTGGCGTGGTAGACACCATGGTGAGTACGCCCCTCGTCCAGCTGAGTCAGCTACTTTCGCAGCTGACCATCCCCGATATATATAGATCGCAGTGATACCGCCGCCAGGGCCCACGCACATCCTCTCTTCCGTCCCGCTCTGACGACCGACCGAACGGGATGGGCGACGCGTCCGAAGACACAGTGCCAATGAGTGCTCTCTTCCAGCCCATCCAGGTCGGCGACATCACGCTCGCGCACCGCGTGGTCTTCGCGCCGCTCACACGATGCCGCGCGAACAACCGCGGCGTCCACACCGACCTCGCCGTGGAGTACTACGCCCAGCGGGCATCCGTTCCGGGCACGCTTCTTATCACCGAGGCGACCTACGTCTCACGTGCCGCCGAGGGGCGGTCGCCGAACGCGCCCGGCGTGTGGAACGACGAGCAGGTCGCTGCTTGGAAGCGGGTGGGTCTGCTTCGAATTTGTGCTCGCGAGTTGCAGTAACTATCTCGAAATCGGGCAGATCGCGGATGCCGTACATGCGAAGAGCTCCTTTGCGTTCATGCAGATCTGGGCCCTCGGCCGGGCAGCGAGGTTGGGTTACATCCGCGAGCAGGATCCCAACTTTGCGTATGTCTCGGCGTCGGACATTCCGTTGAAGGCGCGCCCAGAGGACACCCCGCGTCCTCTGACTGTTGCTGGTGAGTAATCCCTCCCTGTCTTAACAAGCACCCGCTGCTGATCGATAGCTGTTGCGCGCAGAGATCAAGGAATACGTCGCCGCGTTCGCGCAAGCGGCGCGCAACGCGGTGTTGGGGGCAGGATTCGACGGCGTAGAGATACACGCAGCGCATGGGTACCTCATCGACCAGTTCACTCAGGAGATGTGTAACACGCGCACGGACGAGTATGGGGGCTCCGTCGAGAATCGGTGCCGGTTCGCACTAGAGGTGGTAGATGCGGTGTGCCAAGCGGTCGGGGAACAGAAGACGGCCATTCGCATTAGCCCATGGAGCACATTCCAAGGTGTGTTCCGACGAGCTCCTAGTTGTTCCTTGAGAATAACGTGATGTGCCAGACATGCGCATGCTTGACCCGGTACCAACCTTCACCTATCTTGTCTCCCGACTAGCTGCCGATCATCCTAAACTTGGCTACTTGCATGTGGTCGAACCAGGCCTTGCTGGTGGTGCAACTGTCCAGGTGAAAGCCGGAGAGGTGAGTGGCGCTTTGAGTGTGTTCGGCCGATCGTGACTGAATAATACGCAGTCCAATGAATTCATTCGCAACATCTGGCTTCCACGCCCTCTAGTGAGTGCCGGTGGATATACGCGGGAGAAGGCACTCCAGGTCGCGGAGGAGACTGGTCAGCTCATTGCGTTCGGCCGAGCCTTCGTCAGCAATGTGAGTTCGGGGACCATGTCCGATAATGCGCTATATCTGACTGCATCCTCGCACTTGCTACGGTTCAGCCTGACCTTCCTTTGAGGCTGATGAAGAATATCCCGTTGACCGAGTGGGATACCGAAGTGTTTTACACGCCAGAAGACCCGCACGGTTATATCGATTACCCTCCCGCTGTAGATGCTATCCCGAGCGCCTCGTAGATTACTGTGCGCACAATCCACTCTGAAGCTCGCCGAGATATGAACATCGCGACATGTCCAAGGCTTCGACTTGCTAGCAGGCTATACCGGTCCAGTTGTGCTACTTCTAGGTAGATCACCTGCCCTATGCTTGTCCCGCCCTTACGACGCTGATGCACGCCTAGATATGATCTTGACTGAGAATTCTCACACACCACCGCGCTCGAGGTGATTCTTCTTCTCGGCCGAACGCACAACTCACTTCTGACGTACAGACAGCTGCCCAATGTGGGTGTGAACCATATCCTAGCAATCAGGTACGCACGCTCGCCACGTTACATAATGCAGGACTTTCGTCTGTGGGCATCAACTGCAACCCACTCCAGCGCAGTCAGAATTCCCTCTACCCCATGAGCGAAACACCCGAGACCGAGACCGTCCCCATGCTCTTCCAGCCGGTGAAAGTGGGCGATCTTACGCTCGCACACCGGGTCGTCCTCGCACCTCTCACTCGCTGTCGCGCGAACGTGCGGAGCGCGCACACCGACATCGCTGTCACCTACTATTCCCAGCGCGGATCCGTCCCCGGCACCTTGCTGATCACAGAAGCGACGGTGATCGCACCCTTCGCTGGCACGATGACCCCGCACATGCCTGGGATATGGAGCGAGGAGCAGATCGCAGCATGGAAGCGTGTGCGTAGCACACTGACGGACTGCCTCCCTTCCTGCTTTCCCTAGCAGAGACGCTCATGCATCTTGCTGCATACAGGTGGCTGATGGAGTACACGAGAAGGGTTCCTATCTGTTCTTGCAGTTGTGGGCGCAAGGAAGGGCGGCCTTCCCGGCGGCGTTGAAAGCAGTCAACCCTGACTATCCCTACGTTTCTGCCTCGGACATCCCGATGAGCGACAGGCCGGATGACATCCCGCGCCCGCTCACAATCCCCGGTGAGCAAAACCCACGTAGCTGAAGCATGTTTGGCAGTCGTTCAACACACTCTCCTACATAGAGATCAAGGAGTACGCCGAGGCTCACGCACAAGCGGCGCGCAACGCCGTCTTCGGCGCCGGGTGCGATGGCGTGGAGCTGCATTGTGCGAATGGGTACCTTCCAGACCAGTTCCTGCAAGATGTGTCGAACAGGCGCACGGACGAATATGGTGGCTCGATCGAGAACCGCTGCCGGTTCACGCTTGAGATGATCGATGCTGTGGTCGCGGTAGTAGGCGCGAAGAAGGTCGGCTTGCGCATCAGTCCATGGGCCACATACCAAGGTAGACGGATGCTGACCTCTCGTGATTATCTCCTTGAGGCTTACAGATACCTCGCCAGACATGGGGATGAAAGACCCGATTCCTACATTCACATATTTGGTCTCCCAGGTAGTTCAGCGCCACCCCGACCTGGCCTACTTGCACGTCATCGAGCCAGGTGTCGCTGCCAGCGAGGATTGTACCCATAACGGAGAGGAAGTGCGTCCCTCCGCCAAGCAGACACCATTTGCTCTCACTTACCTGCCACTGCCCTATGACAGTCGAACGACTTCCTACGCCAACTCTGGCATCCGCGTCCCTTCATCTCGGCCGGACGCTACACACGAGAGAGCGCAATCAAACGTGCAGAAAAAACAAGTGACTTGATTGCGTTCGGTAGACGGTTCATCTCGAACGTACGTCCTGCGAATAATGTTCACCGTGTCGAGTGCTAACGCCTACGAACTTGATCATAGGCTGACCTACCCCTCCGTCTGCGCAAGAACCTCCCGCTGGCCCCTTGGACAAGGGATAGTTATTACTCGTTCGAAGATCCTCATGGATACATAGACTTCCCATTTGCTAAGGATGTTGATACGATGATGCAATGAAACAGATTGGAAAGAGGTCTTTATTTTGAAGTTTGTTGCCTACATAGTACGGCGCGATTGGAGGGAGGTCAGCGTGATTGGCAAAAGGGATGGACACGTCCGGGATCGAACCGGACCCCTCTCGCATATCTGCTGCTAAGCGAGCGTGATAACCAACTACACCACGTGCCCTTATGTTCGCTCTTCAAAATGTAATATATAACAGGACTGGTAGTGCTGCAATCCAGGGTTGGCTATTATCGTGACCAGGAATAGCTTCTGCTAGTACCACCAAGTTGAATCCTAGTACAACCCCAGATATATAGACACCCTGCACGATGCTGCGCCGGTTGCTCGTTCTCACTCACTCCCATGAGTACCATGCGTCATTCCTGTCTACCACTCGAGGTCTGCGAACTGATTGTTGACTCTGTTCCAGAGCAGAGGCGATGGTGGGAGGTGGACGATGAGGAAGACTCTTCATTTACTTTTAGGATGTGCGCACTCACCTGCTCCGACTGGCTTCCTCGCGCTCGGGTTCACCTCTACCGCACACTCAACGTCACGTCCTCGCTCCAACTCGACAAAGTCCTTACCACTCTTGCTGTTGTTCCGGACCTAGCCAAGCTCGTTCACCGTCTACACGTTCCATACGGTGGCAAGTACATACCATTTGCGCAGCCATATTTCGTCAAACAATTTTGCAACTTGCGGTCCCTAAATTACGTCTACCGGACGCCAGGGGCGATCGACTGTTTCCCGCACAATCATCACCTTCTTGTAGCCCGGTTCCCGTTGACGGAACTCGTGATTGAAGGAGATCTGCAAAATCTCCAAAGGTCATGGTGCAAGATCTTTCGGCTCATCTGGTCACTCCGAGAGCTAGAAAGTCTGAAGCTCAACGTTGCGTCGTCGTCGAGTCTGACCGACGCGGAGATTCAACTGCTCAGCACCGCGCGCAGGGCATGGTCATGCGCTCAACTCAAGAGGCTGGTACTAGTGGTGAGTAGCATCGCCCCAGCATCACGGGTTTGCATTATTGACTCCCAGTTATCATGTCTAGTTTCCTGCTGTGCCGGTCAAGGATGTGAACAGTGTCGCACTCTACACCACATGCAACTTCTTGCCTCCACGGGCCTTCGGACATTCTATCGTCCATCTCTCGTTGCATTTCCGTTATGATGACCTCACAGTCACTGGTCAGTGTCATGTCATGACGCTCCGGAACCCACGGAGGCTCATTGACATCCTTAGACGCGCTCTTGGATCAAGTCGCCGGCTTCTCTTCATTGGAGGAATTACGGATCTGGTTCCTTGGCAGTACCAGCCAACAGCTGCGGTCACGCATCTCAGCCAATCTCAGACTGATTCTACAACGGATATCGGCGACCAAATCTCTGCGTAAAGTTGTGCTCTCGTTTCAGCCGCTATACGGGGGCACCGTGTCTCGCGCCGGCATCCTACAGTGTCTCTCGATTGCCGACGTGGACAGGCTCCTGGACCGTTTCGAGAGGCTGGAAGAGGTGGAGCTTGCTCTCGTGGACGATCAGCAAAATGCCAGCGTTTGGAGACAACGCGTCTGCAACCGCATGCCGACACATCGCAACATTGTCCGTGTCGTGTTAAGTCTGCACAGACCGGCGCACAGCAGTGAGTCTACTCACCAGGACAGTACATCAGTATCCGCTATTGTTCTGGCAGTCCAGCTCCTGGGCGAGACATACGGGCCTGATTGGAATGACGAAGCTGAAGGTGAGTTCAACGGTAGCGCGTGACTTGCTCGTAATCACTGACAACATATATGGCAGAGCCACACCCGGGCCTGACGTACCCAGACGATCCCTGGGTCTACGAACACCAATTAGTTGTTGCTCGGAGCCGATTGCCGGAGTTTATCGACGAACTGTCGGAGATGTACAACTTGAACCAACCACCTCATGACCCACCTGCATGGCCACGTTATCGAAGTGCACAACCTCATTCGATATTGGAACCCCAGTATAGAGTGGTACGTCCAATGCGGATTCGATTGACACCGTGCTGAACGTTTCTGCCTTCTCCCTACCTCCACGGTCCAGGCAATTTCGTACCTGAACGAAAGAGTTGCGTATTTAGAAAAGCACATCCGGAAGTTGTATGGGAATGAGAACCAGAGAGTTGCGTGAAACTGATACTTATTGTGACACGAGTGGTGGTCGAAACCGAGTACGTTGTCGGTATGGTTGACCAAAGAAAAGAGCAGTCATGCTGGGCGTTTTGGGAAGCGTGATCCAAGCCTTTTCAACGCGTTCTGCTCACTTCGTGGCCAGTGACCGTCCTCCGCCCTACTGCTTGAGATTTGAATTTGATTGCCCAAGCTGGCAGCGATAGACGACATCAACTTGCAACTGGATGAGAGCTCGAGTCTGAGAACAACTTCAAGATGGTGGTCAAGGTGAAGCTTACTGAAGCAACGCTCGGCGCTGCCAGTGCCACGCACAGCCCGATGCCGAGCGCCAACCCCAGAGTTTACGCCTACGACCACGTTCACCGCCCGCAGCGGGCCACCCTCTCCTTTCTTCTCAACCATTGCCAGCAATGGAGGACCTCGTCAGCTCAAAAGGCGAGCCTTCTGCATCGACCGTCACCACCTCCTCGGCAAGCGCAGGCTCAATGACGTTCCCACAAGCGCTGCAGACGGTGCAGGAAACAGACGTGCGTACGCGATCGCATGTGGCGCAAGGGTGAGTTGGATATTCACCGACATCCATGACCAGGTCAACGTCTTCGTTGCGGCACAACGCGGCGACGTCGAGACCCTCCGCTCCCTCATCGAGTCCGGCAAAGCAAGCGCAACCGACCGGGACGAGCAGAACATCACTCCCTTGCACTGGGCTGCAATTAACGCACAATTGGCCGCGTGTAGGTATCTCCTTGAGCAGGGAGCGGAGGTTGATGCGCTGGGTGGCGACCTTGTTGCGACTCCGATGCAGTGGGCAGCGCGGAATGGGTATTTGTATGTGATCCAGCTGCTCATCGCCCACAATGCGGACCCGAACATCACCGACGCGCAAGGCTACAACACCCTTCACCTCGTAACACACTCGTCGTCTGCAATGGCCCTGTTGTACCTCCTACACCAGCCAATCAACGTCGACGCCCGCGACTCGCAAGGACACACGTCGCTCATGTGGGCAGCCTACCAGGGCGACGCTCTATCTGTGGAACTTCTCCTCAAGCATGGCGCAAGTCCGACAACGAAGGACGACGCTGGCCTCACGCCACTACACTGGGCGGTCGTTCGTGGTAACCGGATGTGCATCCGGAGAATCATCGAGGCCGGCGCAGACGTACATGCGAAGGATGGAGAGGGAAGGACGGCGCGGGACATGGCAGTCGAGCTTAAGAGTCTGGGGCCATGGAAGCGTGCACTAGACGAGGGTGGCTTGACGGAAGATGGCATACCCAAACGTAAACCTTTGAGCGAAGTGAGTGATCATATGCGCCTTATTGCACTGCAAACCGCCGTACCAACAATGCGCAGAGAAACACCAAGATGGTCATCTTTCTCATGCCAACCCTGTTCCTATTCCTGATGTTTACGACCCTCACGATACTGCCATGGTACACTGGAATCATTCTAGCTATGGCACTCTTCTTCGGAATGCATCACGTAGGTGTAACCCTTCCCTGCATCAGGACAACAGGTGCTGACATATTACAGATTGTAACACGAGTTCTCCTCGACAAGTCCAACTACACTGACAGTGTCACGCAAAGTCCCTATTTCGCGGGCATTATCACCGGTTCCATGATCTGGGTGACCTATGCGTGGGTGAGCCGCCTCATGAACCGTGAGTTGTTGGTGCTATGTGGGCGAATTTGCAATCGCGTTGACGTTACCACAATCGCAGAAACCCAGTCCCACCCCTTCACCAATCTGACCCTAGCCATCACCATCGGACTGTGCGCATACAATTTCTTCCGTGCCATAAGCTTGGACCCTGGGACTTGCCCGAAGCCGTCTAGTGATGGTGAACTGAAGTCGGTGAGTATTATGCTTTCCGAATCAAGCTGCAGTGATGCTGACTCGTGAATCGCAAAGATCATCGAAGAGCTTGCTTCTCAGGGACGCCTGAACGGCCAGACATTCTGTATTCAATGCATGGTACGTCATCCATAGCTTCCGTACTCCAGACATGATTAAGAGGATACCAGGCTCGCAAGCCGCTGCGATCTAAACATTGTCGAGTATGCGACCGTTGCATCGCACGGCACGACCAGTACGTGAACCTAATCTTTTACTCATTCCTCTCTCACCGGGTTTTACGTAGCCATTGCCCATGGGTATGGAACTGCAGTACGTCGCCCGCGATCTCCGCTGCACTCTCTTCACTAACTTCTTTGACAGTCGGTGTGAACAATCACAGACAATTCTTGCTGTTTGTCACGACTCTGGTCCTCGGAATCATCCTCTTCGACTACCTCACTTTTGAGTGTAAGCATGCGCCCCCGTCTGCATCGCGCGCTCCTCTGACATCGGCCCTCCAGACTTCTCGAGTTTGACCGTGTCAACGGACCCGGCGAACATCTCGCCGTCGTGTGTTCTCCCCTCGTACCTGTGCGCGATCACGGCATACGACACCTTCCTCTTCTCCGTCGCCGCATGGGCCACCCTGCAGCTGTCATGGACCCTAGTCCTTCTCGCCACACAGCTCTGGCAGGTCGCGCGCCAAATGACGACGTTCGAGGTCTCCAATCTTGGGCGCTATGGCTTCATGGGCGGCCGTGGCGGTTCCAGCATGCACCAGATGGGCCAGCACCGGCAGCTCGTCTCGAGCGACTCGAGCGAAAGCGAAGGCGGGGTGAGCAGCGGCACGCACACGCACGCCCACCATCACCACCACGGCATGTGCGCCGGGTGCGGGAGCGGCTTCCTGATGAGCCTCCTCGGCTTGGACCGCTTCACGAAGGGCAAGGCCGCGGACGGGCTCGCGCGCGCGTCCAAGGCCCCGAATCCGTTCGACCTCGGCATCGTCGGGAACTGCAAGGACTTCTGGACGGCGGGCCAGGAGCTCGGCGTCGAGTACGAGCGGCTGTACGATGTCCCGCTCGAGGGCTTCTCGGAGGCGAAGCGCCGGAGGCAGCGCGAGGAGGGCGATGACCTCCATTTGGATGGCGGTGGACGCAAGTCGCTGCGGAGCAAGCTCCTG